TTACCCAAAGAGGAACAGACAGCACTACGTAACCTGAAAGAAGACACCAGCATAATAATCCTACCCGCAGACAAGGGCAACGCCACGGTGGTTATGAACACATCTGACTACCAAACCAAATTAACCAACCTACTCCAAGACTCCACATACAAACCCCTAAATACAGATCCCACCACCTACCTGGAAAAAACCACCAGAACAAAGATAAAAGCCTCCCCCATTAGCGAAGAGATCCAGCAAAGAATCATTCCCAGAGAGAAATCATCCAGATGCCCTAAACTCTATGGTCTCCCCAAGATACACAAAGAAGGAACCCCACTCAGACCTATAGTCAGATCCATAGGCTCACCTCTACAAAACCTAGCCAAATTTCTCGCCAAACAACTACAGCCCTATGCAGAATCCATCACCTCAAACGTAAAAAACTCATTCCAGTTTATAGAGATCATAAAGAAACAAAGCTTACAGCCCAGCGACCTACTAGTGAGCTTCGATGTCATATCCCTCTTCACCCAAGTGCCTATCAAAGAAGCCTTGACAGCTATTCAAAACAAATATAACCCCCCCAAACACATCTTAGATCTGACAAACCACTGCCTATCCAACACATACTTCATCTATAACGGACAAAAATACAAACAAACAGAAGGAGCACCCATGGGATCACCCCGCTCACCTGTCATTGCCAACCTCTACATGGAACACTTTGAAACCCAAGCTCTAGAAAAATCGGATCACAAACCCAAACTCTGGCTCAGGAATGTGACGACACCTTCATAATCTGGACCACATGGGAAAGAAAAACTGGACAACGTCCTCACACACCTCAACAGCCTACACCCCAAAATACAGTTCACCATGGAAACAGAAGCTAACAACCAACTTCCCTTCCTGGATGTCTTAGTCTACAAGAAATCCAATGGCTCCTAGGACACACCATCTACCAGAAGAAAACACACACAAACCGCTATCTGCACGCTCTCTCACACCACCACCCAGCACAGATCAACTCTGTAGCCAAGACACTCATCTCCAGAACAAAACGCTTAGCTGACGAACAACACCTAAAACCCGAACTACACACCCTCACCAATGTACTAACATCCAATGGATTCCATAGAAATAAGATTACAAACCTAATCCAAAAGAAACCCCCACTAAAATCCAAGACAAAGAACAAGAAAACGGCAAAGCCCTCCTCCCATACATAAAAGGCACCACAGACAGAATCAGTAAGATCCTCCATAAACACAACATCCAAAACAGCATTCTGCACAAACAGAAAAATATCCACCATCCTTAGAAACCCCAAAGATAAAATTGAATTAGAAAATCAAGGAGTATACGAAATCCCATGCACCACTTGTCCCACCACATACATCGGACAAACAACAGAAGAATAAGTGCACGCATTGAAGAACATAAGAACTCAGTCAAAAAAGAGGAACCAACATCTTCCCTGGTCCAACACCTTAAAGCCACAGGACATGAAATTGACTTTAAAAATACCAGAACCATTGCCAAAAGTGAACATTTTAATAACAGAATAATCAGAGAAGCCATCGAGATAGAAAAACGCCCACACAGCATGAACAAGCGAGATGATACCTCCCGCCTACCAGCCATTTGGAAACCTGCCCTTATTGACAAACGACTCCCTAACCCCAAAATCTTAAACCCCTCTGCAACTCAGACTAACCTGAGCACAACCAAACAGAACACTCCCCCAGCCAATCAGAGCACAGCCAAGCCCCTAACCATTCAGAACACACCTCCACCCAATCAGAACACAGCCAAGCTCCCACCCAATCAGTTCATACCCCCACTGGCAGTTAAAAGGAAGAAACAGCTAAAACCACACATTGCTGCTCAAAGCAAGAAGCTAAAAACACCAGCCTGAAGATGACGAATGTGACTTCGTCGAAACGTTGCCAAGACACTTCCAATTTTACGCGGGAGAAAACCCGAACAACCAAAGACCTATATACAAATACCCGCGAAAACCTCAGAAAACATATATATATATATATATATATAGACCATCCTTGAAGGTTTTTGACATACTTAGAATGGATGGAAAGTAATTGAAGGTTATGTTGGTAGACTGCAGTAGAATTCATGAAAGATGACAAGCAGTTCTGATTTTTGCAATAAACAAACTCCTTTTTCTATATAATTCAAATGGAGAAAGCTTGGAAGAGTGAATTTTTGAATGATTCTGGATAGCACTCTATATGATTTACTTTCTTTCTTTTAAGAAACATTTTATTGCTAAATTCTTTTTCCATATTCTTTTCCCCAAATTATGTCTTCTGTACTGTAAAATTGTTGCACATTCTAAAAAAGCTTAATATTAGAGGTGGTCTTTGTAATGCAATTTCATAATAATATATGGGAGTGAATTATAAAATTCTCTATGTGTGTGTCTCTGTCTCAACCTGTGTGTGTGTTATAAACTTGTGTGTGTGTTAATTTTTTGTAAAGCTGACAGGTTAGAAACAATAGATTGAATCTTTTAATACCATAATTTGAGGGTTCATTCCCATTTCATTTTCTGGCTTTGGGGTGTGGGGAGGACTATGAATATGAAAGAATGTATCTGAGTTATTTTTCTTATCATGCATTACTATAGTTGTCTGCTCCTTATCCTCCATGTCTCAAAGCCAATTAAGATATTTTGTTGCATGAATTGCAGTCTCTTTTTTTTTTGATAGTGACCATCCCTGGAAGGTTTTGACATACTTAGAATGGATGGAAAGTAATTGAGGGATATGTTGGTAGACCGCAGTAGAATTCATGAAAGATGACAAGCAGTTCTGATTTTTGCAATTAGCAAACTCCTTTTTCTATATAATTCAAATGGAGAAAGCTTGGAAGAGTGAATTTTTGAATGATTCTGGATAGCACTCAAAGAGATATCTGGATTCTTACTTTTTAATAAAAGAGGACATCTGTGGCTCAGGATGGTTTTGACATTTTTGGTGTTCTCTGAGCTTGTATCTGTTTGCTTGCAGATATTTCATTACCCAACTAGATAATGTCACGATCTTACATTTTAATTCTGGGGACACATTTTTGTTCTAGCATATAAGACAGTGATCTTTTGAATCTTAGTAGCTGAAGATACATGCATACATCCCCTATTTCATTACTTTCACTAAAATCATTCTTTTGCACTACTGTTGAGAAGGGATGATTTATAATTTTCAGTTTCCTGGATTCATGTGAGCAGCTTCACCTATAAAGGGTGCTTGACAAAGATTGTATTTTTCAACCCAAAATCACACTATCCATGATAGTAGTTGCATGATCAGTCTTAGATGCAGCATTAGTTAACATATATTTCATTAAAATAAACAGATATCACATTTTGAAGCATACTGATAAAAGATATATACTTCTTTGTAGGTTACTAGTATGATAACATACATGGAATAATGAATCTGAATATTGTACATACATACACTCCAAGTCAACAATTTTTGAAAATTATATTGAAAACAGTTTTTAAAAAAGTATTCATATATCCTATTATTCCTTCCTTCCTTCCTCAACATTACCAATACATCCTAGCTTTGGCATTTGCTACAAAAGAAATCAATGAATAATCACATTTTAGCAGATTTTCTCAGTGGAGCACAATTAATTCCCCAGATTAAATTTTAAAAGTAACTCATTAAAGATGTGAATGTTTCCAATTTATACTTCCCATGATAGGGGTGATCTAGTAAACTAAAGTGCATCATCATTTGTTCAATATACACCAACTTAAACTATCACAAGTATCATATAATACATTGTATGAATTCTTACACAATGTATATATTTCTTTGTAGGGTATTGACTCAGCATTACCAGCACATCCTGGCCATGGTATTTGCTATAAAAGAAATCAATGAAAACCCACATATTTTGCCAAACATTACTCTGGGATTCCAGATCTATAACAGCCATTTCAGTGCAAGTTGGACTTATCTTGCTTCAATGGAACTTCTCACTTCTTGGAAGAGATTGATTCCAAACTACAAGTGTGATAATAGAAACAATGCAGTTGCAGTCATTGGGGGACCTAATTCAAATGTCTGCCTCCATATGGCCACTACACTACATATCTATAAAGTTCCACAGGTAAGCATTTGTTGAACAGTTTTCATTTGTAAGAGATTTTCAAATTCTAGCATATCAGTCTTTATTTTAACAGTCATCCCTTTTTTCCTGTAATAAAATCGTCTGCCCTTTTTGTATATAAAAACACTTACACTCCTTGAAATAATATATATAATATATGTACATTGTGGAAATTTCTGTTAGCAAAGCCATCATGGAGGAAATTAAACATCAATAAATATGTATATTAGATAAAAACTTGTATCTTACAAAATGTTGCAGATGTTAGTTTTAGGTCTTATCACAATCAATGTTATTGCTTATAACTTTTCTGCTACAGTTGATTTTATCTGGCTATTAATTTAATGGTACTTTTATAGATAACTTTATTTTATATGAATTATTTAGATTGCCTCTTCTTTTGTTATACTGTAGGAGATAACATATAAACCTTCAAATAAAATCAGGAATAAATGATTTAACAACTAGGATGTGACCTGACAATTTTTTAAATCTTAGTATAACAGGAAACTTGAATTTAAATGGAATTGTTGAATTATTAGATAACAGTTCAGATGGGTTGCAGAGTGTAATTTTGATCTGTTGCATAGTATTTAAGAGAAGGTATTATATATGAACTGCAGGCTCAGAGTTTCTAATCTATAAAAAGATATGATAATTAAAAAATTAAAGGAGAAAAATTCAACATTTGAGTTCCCTTCCATGTAAATATATTAGAATCAGCATCAAAATTTAACATGCTACTTCTATATGTCGTCAGAAGCACAGAAAACGGTTTTGGAAATGTTTTCCTTTTCTTATCAATTCCTTAGCTGTCCTATGGTTCTGCTCCAGTGCTGGATTACAAAAACCAAGATGCTTTTGTCCAACAGATGTTTCCCCAAGGCATCCATCAATACAAAGGGATTCTTCACTTGCTTCTTCATTTTAGGTGGACATGGATTGGAGTGCTGTATCTAGATGATGACAATGGGGAGAGATTTGTGCAGAATGTACTTCCATTGTTTCCCCAGAAAGGCATCTGCTTTGATTTTATTCAAAGACTCCCCAAACAAGGATTTTCTAATGCTATGGAAGCTGTTGTAGAAGATGGGATTAAAACATACAAGATTATCACTAGGGACACTTCCAATATTTTAGTCATACATGGGGAACTACAAACCATGTCAGTTCTTCTCCTACTGCTAGGATTGCCAGAGTATTTTGACATGGACAAATCAAAAGGAAAAGTCTGGATTATGACAGCTCAGATGGATTTTGTGTCTTATTCTTTTAAAAAACCACAGGACATAGACTTCATCCATGGTGCTATATCCTTTGCAGTTCACTCAACAGATGTGTTAGGATTCCAGACTTTTCTTCAAACTATAAATCCCACCTTAGAAAAAGAAGATGATTTTCTTCAGATCTTTTGGGAACATGCCTTTGACTGTTCTTTACCCAAACCCAATGAAGACAATGTGTCTGGGAGACTTTGCACTGGGAAGGAAAAACTGGAAAGTCTCCCTGGTACTCTTTTTGAAATGAAGATGACTGCTCACAGCTACAACATCTACAATGCAGTCCATGCTGTAGCACATGCCTTGCACTTCATGTATTTATCACAGTCCAAGCAGAGACAAATAGGAAAAAGCAAGCAGCAGAAGAAACTTCTCAATCAAGTTTCCTGGCAGGTAAAAACAAAATGGGAGGCTGGTGCCACAACACAAAACAATTTACCAAAACTGTAAATGAAAAAGTATAAGTTTTGAACCTAAACTCAAAGTCTCTCCTGACTTCATTTAAGAAGAAAGAGTGAGCACATTCTGAATTTTTAAGGAAATGGTTCAGATTGTGTAGCTAGCTGTCTTGCAGGAATTTCACCATTATTTGCTCATGTCATTGGGATGTAAAATGGCCTGACAATCAGAGCTGAAGTCTAATAATTTGCTTTATTAATCTGAGTTTATTAAAGTTAGGCTTACAGCTAAGACAGAATTGGTCATTTTGGGTTGTGATTTTGAAAGGGAAAATGCATTGTGTAGCTTAATATAGAATCACAAATTCATACTAAGGTTAATAAATGAATTATTAGATTATAAGATTACAGAGATAATAATTATTGAAGAGAATGTTACCATGTTACCCTCTTTTCAGATAGGAAGACACTTGAATAATCAGTAAGTAACTTAGTCATAATGTCTCCTAATCCACTTGCATGTTCACATTATAATCAGTAGAAGACTTATCTGCATGCCAACTCAACCTATGAAGGGCTCACAGTGCATTAGAGGCAAAAAAATGATTCCGTTTAGGGTAGATTTATTATGATCAAACCAATTGGCCAAGTCATCAAAATTACCTCTTTTAAAGAAATTATATCTAGCCACCTAACCTACCTTTTTGTGATAAGAAATTATTACTGTTGGTTTGTCATATTTAAACTGGATTTGGCATTTTAGCCTACCTATTGAGTTACTTGCAAGAACCTGGGATAGGCACCTGTTGATGTGATGTATGGTGTCAAAGATATTGTCACAGGATGCAAGGAAGGAAAGGAGATGAGAGTAGAGAAACAGAAAATTGGAAAGACACAAACTTAAGGAACATCAATCAAGAAATTATGACTTTCTGATGAAAGTAATTTTCTGCTGAGAGAAAATTATGACAATAATTAACAGATTATTGTCACCCTTACAGGTGACAGATTTCTCACCCTTCCATGCCACTTTATGATTTAACTGCCCATTAAAACAAAACAAAACAACAAATTAATAAAATGGAACTGGGATAGCTGACAGTGACAAGAATCACAGTGATCTGAAAAAGAGATATCTTGACCACTGATGTTCCCTTCTCCATGATTTTTAACAAAAAATGAATGTCATCTGTAATTATTTCTGGCTTGAATATGATTTTAAAACAACTTATTGTCCAAGATATGAAGGCAGAACTTCATAGAGGATTTGGAAACATGGGCAGTGTGGCTATGAAATCTCTTTCTATCTGCAACTGAATTAAAAACAAATTTGAAGCTGATAACAATTAAATTATTTTGATCAAGAATTGAGTGTCTTTCAAAATTGGAACCAATCTAATTAAGTAAATTCTTGTAAATAATAATAATAATAGATAATATGTTTTGCCAATTGAATATAATCCCCACATGATTTCCTATTTAATCTTGAATCTTTACTTATTGTTGCTCCCATTTTCTGCAATATAAATATTTTTATCCAATATGCTAAAGTGCCTCATACTTTTTAATTTTATAGAATCTTAATGTTGAAAATGCATGTCTGTCTGTCTGTCTGTCTGTCTGTCTGTCTGTCTGTCTATCTATCTATCTATCTATCTATCTATCTACCTATCATCATCTAATCTTCTTCGCATATTTCTTTCAGTTTCAGCTCCACCCCTTTTTGAGAAAAGTTTCATTCAACAATAGTGCTGGTGACATTATTTCTTTTAATCAAAATGGTGAACAAATAGTGGGATTTGATATTATAAACTGGGTAACCTTCCCAAACCACTCGTTTCGTAGAATCAGAGTTGGAATGATAGACCCACATGCTTCTTCAAAAGGGGGAATTTTCCTTGATGACAGTCATATTGTGTGGCCTGTCCGATTTAATCAGGTAAGTATGGATCTATTTCGTTGACTTCAGACATTACTGAAAATTTAGAACATTTATTTATTTCTAAACTGCTGATCTCCCTCAAGACTCCCTATTGGACACTGGATGCTGTACAATCACATGCTAAAATTAAAAATATAGAGGGTATTTGTTTATTTGTTTGTTTGTTTATTTATTTGCTATGTTTCTAAACTGCCCATCTCCCTCAAAGAGGGAAGTTGGGTACTGTACAATAAAATGTTAAACTATAAGAACAGGGGCCCTGGATCGAATTGCACCTTTGCGACCTCTCTGTGGTGGTGGTCCCCGGAGGGTGCCTTGGTTTACTGAGGAGCTCCGGGAGATGAAGCGCCACAAGAGACGTCTAGAGTGATGTTGGAGGGCCAGTAACTCTGAATCTGACCGATCACTATTAAGAGCCTATCTTAGGACTTATTTAGTGGCGATAAGGGCGGCAAAGCGTGTTCACTTTTCCGCACTTATTGCGTCCGCAGAATCACACCCGGCCACCTTGTTTAGGGTGACCCGCTCCCTTCTTAAAGTGGAGGAGGTGGAGGAACCCTTGCAGGGGAGAGCTGAGGAGTTTGTTCAGTTTCTTTCAGACAAAATCGCTCAGATTCAGAGAGACCTGGACTCCGACTGGGCAGTGCCAGCCGAGTTGCCAGGGGCTGGTCTTAGTCATGTATCTGGAGCAAGTTTGAGCCTGTGACCCCTGATGAAGTGGACAAGGCCGTGAGGGCAATGAATGCTGCCACCCGTGCCCCTCCTGGCTGGTTTCTGCCAGTAGGGAGGTGACACGAGGCGATAATCAACGCCTCCTTGATGGAGGGGTCTTTCCCGCAACCTTTAAAGGAAGCGGTGGTGAGGCCCCTCCTCAAGAAGCCTTCCCTGGACCCAGCTGTTTTGAAGAACTTTCGTCCTGTCTCCAACCTCCCCTTTGTGGGGAAGGTTGTAGAGAAGGTGGGGGCGTCCCAACTCTTGCGATCCTTGGATGAAACTAATTATCTGGACCCTTTTCAATCTGGTTTCAGGCCCGGCTACAGCACTGAGACTGCTTTGGTCGCACTGACCGATGACCTCTGGCGAGCCCGGGATAGGAGTCATTCCTCTATCCTGGTGCTTCTTGACCTCTCAGCGACTTTCGATACCATCGACCATGGTATCCTTCTGCGTTGTCTCGGAGAGGTGGGGGTGGGCGGCACCGTATTGCGGTGGTTCTACTCATACCTCTCTGACAGGTCGCAGTCAGTGTTGGCGGGCGGACAGAGATCGACCCCTAGGCGCCTCGATTATGGGGTGCCTCAGGGCTCGGTCCTGTCCCCCATCCTTTTTAACAGCTACATGAAACCGCTGGGTGAGATCATTCAGCGACACGGGGTGAGGTATCATCAGTATGCGGATGATACCCAATTATATATCTCCACCCCGTGTCCTTTCAGTGAAGCAGTCGACGTGATGTGCCGGTGCCTGGAAAATGTGAGGGTCTGGATGGGGGTGAACAGGCTTAGACTCAACCCGGACAAGACCGAGTGGCTCTGGGTCTTGCCTCCCAAAGGTCAAATGGATGGTCCATCATTAGTCCTGGGGGGAGGAAATTTACCTCCCTCAGTGCAGGCATGCAACTTGGGTGTCCTCCTGGACTCACAGCTAAATCTGGAACAACATCTATTAGCTGTGGCCAGGGGGACCATTGCCCAGGTTCGCCTGGTGCACCAGTTGCGGCCTTATTTGGACCAGGAGGCTTTACTCACGGTCACTCATGCCCTTGTCACCTCAAGACTGGATTACTGTAACGCGCTCTACATGGGGCTACCCTTGAAGAGCATTCGGAGGCTACAGTTGGTTCAGAATGCAGCCGCGAGAGCGATTGTGGGCGCGCCAAGGTACGCCCACGTGTCACCTATCCTCTGCGAGCTGCACTGGCTTCCTGTGGGTCTCCGGATGCAATTCAAGGTGTTGGTTATCACCTTTAAAGCCCTTCATGGCATAGGGCCAGGTTACTTACAGGACCGCATACTGCCGCACAGTTCCCAGAGACCGGTGAGGTCCTATAGATTGGGCCTCCTTCAGGTCCCGTTGGCCAGACAATGTCGACTGGCGGGCCCTCGGGGAAGGGCCTTTTCTGTGGTGGCTCCGACCTGGTGGAATCAACTTCCCCCCGAGGTTGGAACTACTCCCACCCTGCCGGCCTTTAAGAAAGCCGTTAAAACTCTCCTGTTCCGGCAGGCCTGGGGCTGATGTCCCTGGGGGGGGGATATGATCGGACATGCGGCATGATTGTATTATTTTATTGTATTATTGTTAGATGATTGTTTTAATTTTGTGCGCCGCCCTGAGTCCTTTGGGATTGGGTGGCATATAAATAAAAATAAATAAATAAATATAAAAATAAAATATAGAAGAAAGCACGTTAAAATTAATGGAATGGATGTCTTTCAAGGGAATAACCAGCTGTGAGCTTTTCTGGGATCCCCACATAATGAGTTATTTTAACTTGGTTTTGGAAGGTAAGGAGAATGGGGGCCTGCCTCATCTCTGGGGGTTGGGAAATATTCCACAGGGCAGGGACAATAGTAAAGAAGATTCTCTTCCTAGATCCAGACAGTCAAAGTTCTTTGATTGATAGGGCAAGAATTGACATTGAAGGACAAAACAATGGGAGAATCTTTTATGCATTATGATATCTAAAAATATAACCAAACTATATTTAACAGTGCATCCAAGGCTACTATAAAATATTTTTCTGTGTTACATTCTATTCTTTCTTTTTGTTTCTAGGGGTATCCCCTTTCATTGTGTAATGACAATTGCCAAGAGGGTTATAGTAAAAGAAAGAAAGAAGGGAAGCCATTTTGCTGTTATGATTGTTTTCCATGTCCAGAAGGAAAAATATCAAATCACAAGGGTAAGATATGCTAGATACAAAAAATCCTTATACATTGTGTCTGTGCTGTAGCAGGTACATAGGAGAAAATAGGACTCTGCAGTGTGGAATGTTTTGGGTTTGATTTGGCAAATAAGACCCAACTGCAATGGAATATACAGTATGACTGCCTTAGGGAAAGAAAGAAAGAAGGAAGGAAGAAAAGAAAGCAAGAAAGCAAGGAAGGAAGGAAGAAAGAAAGAAAGAAGGAAAGAAAGAAAGAGAAAGAAAGAAAAAGAAAGAAAGAAAGAAGGAAAGAAAGAGAAAGAAAGAAAGAAAGAAAGAAAGAAAGAAAGAAAGAAAGAAAGAAAGAAAGAAAGAAAGAAAGAAAGAAAGAAAGATGCCCAGGAAGCAATCAGAGATGCAGGACCCTGCAGTTGCTTAATAGTCATAAAAAAAGCCTCTTTAATGGATCAAGTAGTTAAAAATGGGGACAAGAAATTGATTCCTTCAAACTTATCAGGTTCTGTTAAAAGTAGCCTTACAATAAAGTAGAATTAGTTAATTTGGTCATGTTTCCTGTCTGATTTGCCTGGGAGGGCTGACACTATCAGTCATAACATCAATCCTAGGAAGCAAACTTGTCTTTTTCCAGAATCATATAGATACTTGATCATGTGAGCATAGGGATACTGCAATGATTGTAAGAGCACAATCCTAATAAAATGATAAGGCAGTTTTATAGGTTCTATTGAGCCTCTCTGACAACCTGACAACATAATTGACTGTGCATGTTTCTTTTTCAGATGCAGACACCTGTTACCCATGTCTGGTAAATCAGTATCCAAATCCTCAACGACGTTTATGCATTCCAAAAACTTTAAGTTTCTTATCTCTAAAAGAACCTTTAGGGGTGTCTTTAGCTGTTCTGGCTCTTTTCTTTTCTTGTCTGACTTCACTGGTGCTTTGGCTTTTCATTAAGCATCGAGACCTCGCAATAGTCAAAGCCAACAACCGGAGTCTCACTTATCTTCTCCTGATCTCTCTCCTGCTCTCCTTCATCTGTGCTTTATTGTTCATTGGGCCACCAGGGAAGGTTACATGTCTCCTTCGCCAAACTGCATTTGGCATCATCTTTTCACTAGCGGTTTCATGTATATTGGCCAAAACCATAATTGTGGTTCTGGCCTTCATAGCCACCAAACCTGGATCCAAGATAAGGAAATGGTTGGGGAAAAGGCTGGCTTATTCCATTGTCCTTTCCTGTTTGCTTATTCAAGTTATGATTTGTACTACGTGGCTGTCAACAGCTCCTCCATACCCAGATGCTGATGTGTACTCATCAAATACGGAGGTTATATTGGAATGTAATGAAGGCTCCTCTACCATGTTCTACTGTGTTCTGGGTTTCATGGGATTCCTAGCTATTGTCACTTTTACTGTGGCTTTTTTAGCCAGGAAACTCCCAGACAGCTTCAATGAAGCTAAATTTATTACCTTTAGCATGCTGGTTTTTTGTAGTGTTTGGCTCTCCTTCATTCCATCCTATTTGAGCACCAAAGGAAAATACATGGTAGCCGTGGAGATTTTTTCCATCTTGACCTCCAGTTTTGGGTTACTGGGATGCATTTTTTCCCCAAAATGTTTTATCATTTTGATGAAACCTGACTTAAAAATTGGAACATCTTTAACAAGAAGGAATCAATAAAAGGTAAAAATTAAAACCCCTCAATTTGGGGACGGGTGAGCTTCAGGATAACAATCTACATAGGATGCTGTTCAATAAATGTGCAAACTTATCTTTTGTGTTGAGGATTTATTTTGAAAGGGAAGGGATGGGGTTGGTTGATAGTCTCTTTTCCATCACCTTTAATATTTTCCAAACTTTGCTTAGGATGATTATCTGAAGCATGGGGCATATTTCTCTATGTATTATTAAGGATTTAAAAATGTTTAGAAGCACTTATTTAGCACTTATGTATCTTTCTCTACAACTGCATATCTTTCCTTAATAGTCACAGTAGGTTGGTAGGGAGAAACACATTTTTAAAAAAAAAATATTGGCAACTAATGTACATTCCAATACCTACTCTCCAAATGAGAACCACAATATATGAACAAGAGTTAAATGTTCAAAAAAATCTAAATTAAGCCAAAGAGTATCAAACAAACATTATTCTTGCCTTAAATGTGTTCATATGTCTTACTACACTCATAGCACTTTTATTCAGTTGACACAGAAATTTGTTTTGATTTTGTTATAACTAAATAATGCACCATAAATGTGATCACAAAATCCTTTTTGGACAAAGAATTATTATTATATAAGTATGGAACTTTAAAGTTCCATTTATTTTATGATTAATTTTTTCTTGATGTAATAATTATTATATATAGAATTTTATAATATTTGATTTATAGTAGATTAGTTTATATTATTATTTTTAAAGTTTAGAGGGAGTTAAGGGTTAAGTATGAATTTGTTTATTGTATATATTTTTTTGTTTTAAAAGTTATAGCTTGTGTTTGTTTTGTTTACAATAACCCTGTATTTTGCTCTGGGAAGCAAGGGGGGGTAGGGCGGGAGGGGATGGGTGGGATTAAGTAGGTCAGATATATAGAAATATTAATGTATAAAACAGATAGAGTAATTTAGAGGGAGGTGCCACTCGGGTATTTCCCCTGAACTGTATCCAAAGAAGGATGAGAGGGGAGGAGGAAGGGATGGAAGGAAGTTGGATGGGAGGAAGGGATGAGGGAAGAGAGGAGATGAGAGGAGAGAGGGAGTAGGGAAGTAGGAAGGAAGGTTGAGAGGGTGGATGCAATCGGGGGGAGATAGACGAGCGACACCTAAGGTCTTATTTTAAAGGTATTTTTCTTTTCTATTTTTAATATATATATATATATATATATATATATATATATATATATATATATATATATATATATATAATGTATTGAAAGTACTAACTGTATAGAAAATTGAAATAAAAATCTTTACAAAAAAAGAATTATTATTGTTATTGTTATTATTATTTTTAGATTATGCCCTTCTATTTCTGAAAAATCCATTCAGTCAACTCATACAGCAATGGGGCCCTCTATCCTGGGACAGTCCGTGTTTCATATAGTTACCTCTAGATGAGATGGGAAGAAAATAAATATAATAAATAAATAAAATAAATATTTTTTCTGTGGGTTGGCCATTACGACATGTTTTCCTACAAGGAATATTTGAGAGGGAAATCTTTCAATTCTGGCACTGCATCACAAATATTCTAGCATGATAGAAGATACTAATCTTCAATAAAACTCAAGGATGTAATTATGCTTTCAGAAAGGAGTGAGAGTTGATTGTATGTTATAGGTAGAATACTTCCACGATTAATGGATTAGTGGAAGACAACTGTCTGATTTGTAGTTAATTTAACAATTAAAAGGAGACTCCTGTAACCCTAAATTGTCATTCATCATTTCAGGGGGTGATGGTGATCTTTCATGTTTCCTGGTCAGTCTGGAAAGATACCAATAAGTTAGTTTAGGTCAGAGTCCAGTTCAGCATAAATGGCACAATTTTTGATCAAGTTACTTTCATGTGCTCCTTTGTCAACTCTTCATAGGATGATTCCTAGATTGATTTCAATTGCTGTTTTCCTCCCATGGCAAATACAATCAAATAAGAATGATGATTTTATCAACTTGCTTGGGCTTTCATTATGTAAGGAAACCAGATGAATGATATTTTTTATCATTTTCAAGCTCCCTGTTATGTGTCCCCAGAGAATATTTGTGGCTACTATCACAAAATTTACTTAAACAAACAATATGAATGAAGTTATATAGAACTCTTCCTAGAGTAGTATGAGTTAAAGTGCTTAGGTTGTATATCGTGTTAAAATTATTTTTTTATTTAACTTGATAGAAGACACTGATCACAACTTATCCATGGATTTAAACAGCCACAAAAAAATAACTGACTTGCTCTGGACCCAAGACTGAAAAGCAACAGCAGCTTTGAGTAAATAATTATTATCAAAATAACCATAATTAAACTGACAGCTTTCTGTCTATAAGCAGTAGCAAAACTGCATATCATGTTTAATGGATTCTCCATACCAACAATTGATCTATATGATCAGAGCTTTGTTTTTCAGGACAGCTTTCTGCAAAAGTAGTCAGTTAAATCGAGATGTTTCACTAAGAATTTATCCATTATCATTTTTTTTTTAATTAGTGAACAAGATGGTGGTGATAATAATGTTGGCATTTGCTTTTTTACCTCACACAGCTAGCAAATGTCCTGTTGATAAACACGCAACTCGGGTGCTTCTTCCAATTCTTCACAAATATTACCATTTTGGAGAATTTAACATTGCTAGCATAACTTCTCAGAGTAATGTGCTATCACGTGCATTATCATATGAAAAAATACCATCTCCAGAGTACTTCGATGATATTCCGTAAGAACCTGGGATATATTTGAATAACAATGTGTGTCTCTCCTGACTCTCTATCTGAGCAAGTTGCTTTATAGATGAACTTTTATTCTGATTCATGTCATTTGTAATATGACCTCATTCTAGTTTTAGAGGCATAATGATAGCATGTTTTTTTATTAATAGAAGCCATACATTCTGTTCTTAATAATGTTTGTGTCCCTCCCTGTTGTTTCTGAGGCTGGAGAGCTCAAGTTGTATTTTGCAACATCTTAAAGACTGTTGTGTGCTAATAAGGTTTTGGTTCTCCAACAAAAGCAGGAAATGTTTTCTGATAATATTTATTTGAAAACAAGAGTTGCAGCCCTTATGTAGATATATGTTAACTAATTTATTTTTTAAGATACATCTTTTTCAACAGCAAGATTCTTTTGTAATCGTTTGCTTTGGCTCTCAAAATTACATCTGCTGAATTATAATGTATATCTATTGCAATAGATTTTTTCCCTACATTAGGGAAACTGACCAACTTTTCAAAACTGATAAACTATATTTTCAGTTTTGGGCAAATTGTTTGGAACAGAATTCTGGAGATGAACAATTCTGGGAACTTGTTTGTGTCTTGGGTAATAAACAGAACTTAAGTATTCCCAATCCTTGACTTTTTAACAGGATTTTTTTCTTCTTCCTGCTTCTCCTTCTTCTCCAAATATCTTCTTAGCGCATTCATGTGTTTGTGTGTCTGCATGTCTATGTGTGAGTGAAAAAGTGGATGGGTGTTATATCCATGTGATAATGCAAATATAAATTCTTCGTGCATACTGAATCAAATGTTCTGAGTCCCATATGAATCTAATTTTAACAATGCTCTGGAGCTCATGTTAAGATATTCAACATGTGATTGAACTAGAACACTGGGTTTTAGCATCATAAATCATGCAGAACTCTCTACTCAGCCTTGTGAATGAATAAGTGTCATTTATAATCTTTAACACAAATGTATGAATGGTGTCTTTACTGAATGCAGGAAGATGCAGATTTTCAAAAAAATTGCAAAATTATTGTGTGCATGCTGAGTAGACGTTCCAAATTAAATTCACATACAAATTTCAAGAAGTGATACCTTACTGGAGTGTATTGTTTTCTCCCAAGTTACACTTCCCATCATAACAGATACATCATTTGTTTGATATACTGTATATTTAATAATATTTTACTAGAACATTTTAAAGCATATGCTCATGTCTTATGTACTTCTTTGTAGGGTATTGACTCAGCATTACCAGCATATCCTGGCAGGGATATTTGCTGTAAAAGAAATCAATGAAAACCCACATATTTTGCCAAACATCACTCTGCGGTTCCAGATCTATAACAGCCATTTTAGTGCAAGCTGGACTTATCTTGCCTCAATAGAATTTCTCTCCACACAGAAGATGTTTCTTTTTTTTCAAATTACAAGTGTGATAGTAGAAACAATGCAGTTGCAGTCATTGGGAGACATAATTCAAATATTAGAATTAGAAATTATAAACAAGATGCTGTTCTGTCTAGAAGGAAGGATGGAAGAAAACTATTTTAAAAAATGCAAAGTTTTGTAAAATGCTTCAATGAGCCATTTATTCAAGACAAATTTACATATTTCAGAGATCACCTCTGAAGTGGTCCAAAGGAAAGGAGGCTAGTTCTGAAGATGTAAATCCACTTTGGAGCACTGTTGTGTCAGGGCATCATAGGTTTTCCTTTAAACTTTGCAAGTTCTCCATCAATTTTAAAAAATGCTTTATTCCAAAGACTCCAGCTGTTTTTCTTTTCTTTTTTCTTTTTTGTTTCTCAGCAATCTTCTCCATCACCAGGCTGGAAATCAGGAAACTATGAGTTCTAGTCCTGCTTTAGGCATGAAGGTTCATTGGGTGACTTTGAACAAGTCACTCTCTCTGAGCATAACTCTCTCCAAGTTTGTTGTAGGGAAAATAGGAGGAGGAAGGATTATTTGGTATGTTCATCAGATTATTTTTAATATGAAAGTCACTTTTCTCCTTGAATTAATGCAGTTGTCTAGCTTGACTTTGCACTAAAGGATGACTTCTGATTTCTTTTTTAAAGTTTATTAAACTTTTTTGTGCAACTGTTTGGGTTTCTGTTTGGTGCTTTGTATTGATTTACTGTAGAAACCTACACTTGATTGGGTTGGATACTTTCAGTCATTAAACTGAAAAAAAAAATCAATAAATTATTTAATTTATCTTATCTATACTAAACAGTGCACATT